AACAGCCAGAAATTAGTTAAAAATCAATTACGGAATATTGAAACAATGGACATTGAATGTCAAGTTCTTCATGCAAACTGGAACGTGCTCATGATATAATATTCAGTGAAAAATGGCAAAGCGCGTGTGGTCCTGGGTTTAGGAAGAATCGATTGAAAAAAAAAAAAAAACTAGAAAATCAGAACACTAAGCATAGTTCTGTCTCTACACTGGGATTTCCAAATTTTCTACAAGAAACACTCCAGCAGGGTGAGGGAAGGAGGGCCTTGGTGGACATTAATTCATGGTCCAAGAATCAAAGGGCAGAATGATTTCCACTTTACAGCCTGTCAGCTTTGAGGTTTTTCCCTTAAAGAAACAGACAGCCAGAGGGGTTTTCAAAACTGCTGCATCAGCTCTGTCAACTGACACAGAACTGGGACTGGAGATGGCAGAGATGCAAATACAGCAGCTCCGCTCATACGTTCCAAGACCCCCAGTGGATGCCTGAAACTGCTGATAGTACTGAGCCCCATGTATACTATAGGGTTTTTTCCTATGCACACATACCTATGATAAAGTTTAATTTATAAGTTAGGCAAAGTAAGAGATTAACGACAGTGACTAACAATAAAATAGAATGGGGTCTCTCAAAGTACCTTACTGTACAAATTTAACACATTTTCTATCTTAACTAGAGCCCTTATCACATATCGTGGCCATAACTTTTACAGTCTGAGGTGCGAGAGCAAAACTAACACACATTTTTTTCCTTCTTCACAATTTCACGAATAGGAAATTCGTTCTTACCATAGATCTTAGCTACCTCAGCATATGATTTTATTTTTCCTTATTAAGTCAAGAACCTTTTCACTTAAAGGAAAGCACTTTAGAAACCGTTCTCTTTGCATAACTGAACTGCCAGCATCACTACTCTTGCACTTCAGGTCCTTTATTAAGTAAAAGAAGGGTTACTTGAACCCAAGCACCTCGATATCACAACAGTGGATCTGATGACTGAGGGGGGCTATGCAGAGACTAATGGGCAGGGCACACTGGACAGAGGGACGATTCACATTCTGGGCAGGACAGAGCGAGACTTCATCACGTGAGCTACTCAGAACGGCACACAATTTAAAACTTACGAACTGTTGGGACTTCCCTGGTGGTCCAGTGGTAAAGAATCCGCCTTCAAACGCAGGGGATGCGGGTTTGATCCCTGGTCGGGGAAATAAGATCCCACATGCCACGGGGCAACTAAGCCTGCGCGCCACAACTACTGAGCTCATGCACCTCAACTAGAGAGCCCGCGTGCCACCAACTACAGAGCCCACGCGCCCTGGAGCCCGCCAGGCTGGGTAGGCCACAACTAGAGACAAGCCCGCGCACCACAATGAAGAGCCCGCGCACTGCAACGAAAGATCCCACGTGCCTCAACGAAGATCCACAGGCCCCAACTAAGACCCAACACAGCCAAAAAAAAAAAACTTATGAATTGTTTACTTCTGGAATTTTCCATTTAATATTTTTGGACACTGATTGACCACGAGTAACTGAAACCACAGAAAGAGAAACCACGAATAAGGGGGGATGACTATCACCAGCCTCCCCATACAAGCGAGGATGAGAAAAGCAGTATCACCCACTTTTCACCATCTGCTGTTTTACTCCATTCACAGTGTTTTAAATGGTTGCTCTGTGCCTCATTTTGATTGTTCCATAATGGGCCCAAAGTGATCTGGGAAATGTAATCCAAATATAAAGTAACAAATTATATTACTAATAAACAATCCACAGGAAATGGGCTTGCTCTTCTCTGGGAGACCAAAGAATGCATTACAAATATTAATGAATTCTTAATCCAAAAAGGCTTGTACCAGCCACAGACCTACTTAATGGATACTGATCCTTGTTTTCATTATCAGAAAATTTATGTTTCATTTAGAAAAAAACCAAAAACTGTGACCCAGTACTCAGGAAACTGAATCTTCCGACTAGCAGTGAAAAACATATAAATAAGGTGGAGCAAGGTGGAAGGAGAGTTAATAAAAATAATAACTAGCAATGTAAGTGGAACGTAAGAAACTCAAGTCATGTGAAATGCAGGGTCACATCACTGCGACATTAACGACATTTTCTCTGGTCCTGAGTTCCCATGGCCCAGGAGCCAATCACCAAGTATACTAGTATACAAACTTTCCTTATTAATGCAGGCTGTGCTGAGTGCCTGTGACAGGAGTTTACAGTATTTGACCTTTGCTAGGATAATAGTTTCGGGCCAACAGTTTCTTGATTAGCATCAATTAGTGAAGACGTTCTACCCAAACAAGTAAAACAGGTTTGGTTCTTGGTGCAGTATTTTTCATTTTGTTTTTGCCTTAAACAAAAGAAAAAGGCGTCTAATCTTACAAATGAGAACAGAAGTCAGCATCTTTCAGAGCTGGGGCTGAAAGATGATGTGCTCCTGAAGCAAAGCCAGATGGGGAGGGAAAAGAGAGGGGTGGGGTAGGCGGGGGCGGGTCTCTACCTACGGGCTCTGCGCACACACCTTGTTTACTGTATCATTAGCAACAACAGTGCTAGCTTTTTAAATAGATGGCTATTTTAAAATCCAGTGCATGTTCACAACCGTATGTCAACTAATATTATAGGCAGGTAGAACATTAGGACTCTGGATACTTTTCCAACAATATGGTTTAAACAGAAATCTGTGTGTGTTCGACACTGGAAAAAACACTGTTTACTGTCTGATGCATCCTGAGTCACTGCCATTTTTAAGCAAACATCTCTGCCTTTAACTTTCCTTTTCGAATTAAAATTACTAAGATAATGAAACCAAATTAACACTGTGAGACACTGATTTGATGTACAAATTTGGGCAATCCACAAACACTGCCTCACCAAAGAGAAATCTGCTTAGTGTATTTAATTATCATTTGGACCAAAAGCATCTAATATGGAGAATATTTCCTTCAACCCATTAAAACGCTGAATGTTGCAGAGCTAACTACTCCCTTCTATTCATAAGGCCTTGCAAAGACCTTAGTAGAAATAAATTTATTCCTATGGAGAAAAACAAACTTTGGGATATTTTCTCTAAAACCAAAGATATCTAATTTGGTCAGGACAGAGGAGACGAGGCCTTGTCAGGGATTTCTCTGCAGGTGTGCCTGCAGCCTAAATGAGACTCTTCTGGCTTGCCACTCTGCCCAAGCTTGCCATGCCATTCACTGCTACCTGATGTCCCCCTAAAATGCCACAAAATAAATAATAGTAACTGTGAAGTGATGAATATGTTAGCTAACCTTATTGTGGTAATCAGTCTGTAATATATATTTTATATACATATATATACATATATATATATATATATATATATATATATAATCACTACGTTGTATACCTTAAACTTACAATGTCATGGGTTGATTATATTTCAATAAAGCTGGAAAAAAATTTTTAAAGATTGAAGTCCCACTAAAACTAACACTGATTTTTTAATTAATAAAACTATATCTGAAATGCAGCATTCCCCAGAGTCTCTCAGGTATTCGCCAATCCTAGGGCCCAAGCACCATCAATTCATCTGCAGTAGCACAGACTATAGGAGGGAAACCTCTATTATCTGTTTTATATAGATGAGGTATACTTGGAGAAGACATCATGCCCGTCCCTCAACCATCAGACATAGGAAGCACATACACACTAATTCAAGAAAAAAAGGACAAATGATGAAGCTAATAAGAATAAAAGTAAAATGCTGTGCACAATTTGTAAAAAGAAGTAACTCCAGTGGGGTAACCGGCAAAAGAGGCAGTGTGGGAACTGGAATTTGAAAGAAGAGAAGAAATCTGACAAAGAGACATAGCAGTAGGGGGAGGGCAAAAGAAGAAAGGACATTCCAGGAATTTCCCCAAATACTGATAAACAGGTCAGATTCCTTGGCACAGGAAATCACTTCATACCAAAGAGGTTTCCAAGTTCCAGCTAATGACTGGATTGTAAACAATGTTGTCCAAAGTAAGAAAGTTCTAGAATAAAAGACTTTGGACACTCACCAATTCACAGCACCATTTCTAACATTCAGAGCTTAAGGTTTGCGCTCTTAATTTTACCCCACATAAACTGCAAATATCCACTCAATGATTCAGAAATAATGCATATAACATCTCAAGTAATACACTCACTCAGGAGATTAGAAAAACAGATACCAATTTCACAGTCCCAGAGCATATCTTAGATCAATTCCAAACATGTTTATGTGTAAATGTGAACAATTCTTACAGTGGCATATGATCAGTAAGGCCCCAATTTATCTTGCCCTCAGTAAACAAATACTCAGAAAACCTAAAAGATCAAAGAACTTTTATGATTCCATGTATCATTATTTTGGAAAGGCCTTCCTCACATCTGATTCAAGTTAAATAATGTTTGAGTTTTTATTGGTAAAGTTAAGTGCAAAAAGTTGGTAATAATAAGGGAAGCCAAAATACTTCATACAAGTAATCCATAAGTCCCTTGTTCCACCCCTTTACAAGTCTGAATTTTCACCAACAATTAAATTTTATAGCTGTTCAAATGCTGGATGATGTAATCAAGGAAAGACATCAGTAGATAGCGCTGGGTGGAAATTAACAGACTGTGGTCAGATTACACTTGCCAAAATCCATAACCTTTAAACATACCACAATGAATTTAGATTATAGCGTTTCCCTAATTTGTGAACAAGAAAACAAAACTGATGGTTAATATTGATAACATGAATCTTTATAAAAGTACAGCCTGGGCAATCAAAATAGTTTATATATAGGTTGAACTAAAGAAATCAATCTGTTCAAATCATCTTTTTTTTTTTTTTTTTTTTTTTTTTTTTTTTTTTTTTTTTTTTTTTTAAAGATTCCCTTCTTCGAGAAGTTACCGTTAACAAAGAAAAAAACCTTCTCCCAGAAGATTTCTTATAAGCACTAGTTCTGCCTAATTCCAATACATGTAGTTTGGGGGCTGTCTTGCTGCTTGCTTACCTGGGGACTTTTTGGTTGATCTTGATGGCACAGAGTGAGACTGTCGAGGCAGCAGAGGTGACGAAGGCAGAGACATGGAGACACCTTTGGCCAAGCTCACCCTGTAGGCATCCTCTGCCACTGGAAGGCTGCTCACAGAAAACTCACCACCATGGCCAGGGGGCAGGACTGGAGGGGAAATCTCCAGACCAAAGTCACCTCCTGGAGTGGAGAGAGAAAACCTCAGGTTAGGCCATCCGTGATAGCTAGATGCGAATTTAATTGCTAAGAACTACATTCTTAGAATTCCCATATGCCGTACGTGTGTGTGGAATTTTTTTTTTTAAGATTCTTCTCTCATCCCATTCACTTCATACTCCGCATGGCACAGAGTCCACCGTCCTACAACTCAAGCAGCCCAAACCCTTAGTCATGAGACTGGAACCGTGGCTCACTGATGAAGCAGGTTCTCCTCAGTATTCAACCCCTAAATGAACTTAAGGACAAACAAGCTTACTGTAACGAAATTAAACATTCTAGGGAACTCCCTGGCAGTCCAGTGGTTAGGACTCTGCTCTCTCACTGTCGAGGGCATCAGTTCAATCCCTGGTTGGGGAACTAAGATCCTGCGAGCCACGTGGTGCAGCAAAAAAAAAAAAAGGGGGGGGGGGGAATTAAATATTCTAGGGTGGTAGACATATTTAAAAAAAAATACAGAGGAGGCAATTGCAGGGTAGAGAGGACACAAGGAAGGGACTACATCGGCTAGGACCAGCACCTCTGAAAAAATACAGCCAGTCCTCAAGTACTCAGATGACATGCTTTCCTCCTTACCCCCAGGTATATACAAAGAAGCAACTGAGATGCTGCAAGAAGAGGTAAATCATTTTCCTGATGATTAAAAAAGCATCTTTAAGCTCTGAATTATATACAGCAGAACTGGAAAGGTATAGAAAGTTCTCCACAAGCAAACTTTTCTCTCTGATGAAAGTTATCCAACTGATGAAAGTTTACCACGCCTTCCTGACTCCAAAAAATCGAGGCCTGGATTTGAACTTAAACCGTTTGTCTAGCCAAGTGGGAACTCAATTTTTGCAGATATTTGTGTACAATACTCAAAAAGGATGCAACCCCAACTGTCAAGTTCCCAATGGCATCACTGTACTTGTTTTTCATGTTAGGAGGCACGCTGAAGTAGAGAGTTACCCGCTCCACAGACCAGGGGGCATTTAAAACAGGCAAACAGGCTCATGCACGGCTTTCAAAGGCAACTCAAAACAAGCAGAGCTGTGAACAGAAAACCCACAGGTTCCACAAGGCATAAGTTGGCACCATCAGAAAGGTAATTTCAGTCTCAGCTGGGCCAGCTATGCTTGAAGGGGTTTTAATAAACTTGGGAAACTAAATATCCAAATGACTGACATTTGAAGAAACAACGAGAATTACCAGGAAACTCTCACTAGAATTTTCAAAAACAAGGACATTATGTAAACACCCAAGACAAATAAATTGACTTTCTGCCCATGAGGGAGGGAAATAGGAAGGAAGGAGTTAATGGAGATCCTTACTTCCTAAGTCCAAGTGAACTGCAGTGTCTCCCACTCTGGTCCTCTTACAACCCTTGGCCACCCTGCTTCCCGAGCCTGCACTATAAGATACCATCACCACCAATTCCCAGGACCCAGGAGCTAATCTCTTAACGCCGCCGTGGACAGGCCTGAAATCTTTCAAAAACCTCCTCCTTGGCGTCTTAAGCCAGGGCGTGAAGCTTCCTAGCTGCTTCCCCTTCAACAGTCTGGTGAGGAAACAGATCTTAAGGCAGAACGGGGGGTGCACCACAATGCCAACTCCCACTGGGGCTGAAGGTCCACCATGCTGAGACTTGGGACAGTTGAAGGGACAGTTGTTTTCTCTGGTCCAATATCAGGTTCTCATGACCAGTCCCCACCACCACCTCCGTCTCATCTTAGGAATGCAAGCAGGTGCTGTACCTACAAGAATGGTGCCTGGTCATCTGATCCCTGGATGTGTCACAAGAAACCCTAGGAGACAGACGAGAACTTGGAAAGCACTGAGGCCACAGCCCCAGGGAGTTACACACACAGAATGTGGGGGGCCTTAAAGAGGAGACACTGGTTTTTCATGTGGCTTGAAGAAAGCTACCCTGCCCTGTGGCTGCCCTTACACTGCCTAAATCACCAACCTGGGTACCCAAATAGCTATGGGATGGCCTGATGGGAGCAGGCGCTGTGACAAGGCACTGTCTTTTCCTACTCACACACGAGTATCTCTGACCGAAAACAAACAAACCTCAGATTTCAGGTCACTTAATCTGGATGAGGACACAAAATGAGGGAGAAATGCATCTTTTATGACAACATCAGAAATAAAACAGTGAGCTCATTACTGAGAGAGGGTTTATTTTCTTAAATACTTGGAATTCTTCAGTGACACAAGAGAAATTGGGGACTGAGGGGTAAAAGAGAATTAAAGAGTTTCCTAATTACAAATTCTGCCCATAAACTTTGTTTATATCAAGCAAAGCAAATATTTTCATTAACTGCAAGTCTGGTGGGGATGAGTTTCCAAAGAAAGCCATAACCATGAGGACCTTCAGCTTTCAGAGCAGCTGTGCTCCAGCACTTTGATTTTATGTGGTCTGCAATAAAACGGGACTTAGAGATGGGGTTTGGGGAGGAAGGATCTCTATTTCAAGTTTACTTTGACATCTCACCATAATATCAGTCCCAAACATGCTGTTCTGTTGGTTTATTTTTCAGACACAATTAAAGATCCCTAACATCCAACTTCCTTTTATCAGAAAGGCACAAAGAAGGGAAAGGAGTTTTATGTATGAGCAGGCGGCGCAAAGAAGTGGGTGATCCAGTGGCTTAGAAGCTAGAGTCTGGTGCTTTAACTGCATCAGGCAAGGGGTTCAAGTCAAAGTCAGTCCAAGAGCATCACAAGGATGCCGACGCCAGTGCCAGAAAGTGAAAGTCTCCTGAGGCATCCATAGGACTAAACAATATTGGTTCTAGGCAACATGACACCAGAAATTCTCCAGTTGATTTAACATTCCTCAACAGATGCTTAAAAAGAGGTTTAAGAGGAATTAAAAACATCTCACTGCAACAACCAGCATGGCCAGCACATTTCTTTTAGCTTTGAATACATGTTTTTCTGTTGACTGTGACCTATTTTATTCCCCACCTCAATTAAGTGATGGGAAATACACCTCAGTCCCCCTTCCTGTTGCTGCAGCAGAAATACCCAGGCCAGGTAGAACGACGCATCCTTTCCAGGGTAGGAAAACCATATTATCAACTACCTCCTCCAGTTCCCCTGGCAGGTGTTTCCCATTGATTCATCAGGGACACTCACATCCATCCCAACGTGTTTTCACTCTCAGAGAGCACCTAGTCTAATCACACAGGTTCTCAGACAAGAAGCCAGGGCATGGGGGTTATCTGTGAGGAGCAGGGCCACAGCTAGAACTTCCAAAATCCCCCCCAAGTGGCTGGCTCATGCTCTAACATACTCACTACTCTACACATTTAAGAACTTAACTTTGGGAAAAAAAAAAAAAAAAGGAGGTACTCAAAATAGACATGTTTTAATTTTTTTAAAAAAAATTATTGATTTGGCTGTGCCGGGTCTTAGTTGCAGCACGTGGGATCTTCATTGCTGCACACGATCTTTAGTTACAGCACACGGGATCTTCAGTTGTGGCATGTGAACTCTTAGTTGCAGCATGTGGGACAGAGCTCCCTGACCCAGGATCGAACCCAGGCCCCCTGCACTGGGAGCACGGAGTCTTAGCTACTGGACCACCAGGGAAGTCCCAAAATAGACATGTTATTGAATGAGTTAATTCTATAAAGGGATCAGCACATTTTTGCTATAAAAGTTTAGGCTTTGTAGGTCACACACAGTCTCTGTCATTCACATACATAACATATACACACACATACCTTTTCTTATTTTAAAATCACCAACTCTGAGTTTCAAAAATAAAAGACCAGAAAGGGCATGAGGGTATAAGGTTCTTCCTGTTTGTAATAAATATAAATACACATACACATATATGTAATAAATAAAAGTAAATACACATACATATATACTCACACGTACAAAAACTAAATCCAAGTCATAGTTTGCAAAGATAATAGAATTATCAAAGGGGATAAAGCCATCCAATAAGGCTTTTTAAATTGGCAGAAATGGCTTTTGATAACAGTTCTTTTTTAATTTTTTCCACTATTACAGGCTGTGAAAAGGGATTTAAACTCATAATGGCAGAAAATGCAAACCTGGGAGATGATGAATGTTTAAAGGCGGCTATGCAGAGTGGCAATGTCCAACATTACAGATTAAAGTGCATGGAGTGCAGGATTAAGGAAGGCTTAAAAAAAAAAAAATGAGGGCAACGAAGCCAGGGAGATGAAAGTAAAACTGCATTTCAAAAAGAGTAGATCTGAGAAAGGCAAGGGTGAGCTTAGACATTCAGGTAAATAGGTCTGCAGATGCAGGAAATAAGATTTCCATTTATTGTGGCATTGAAGTGGCTAGATGGAGGAGGGGGGAATGGAAGCTTAGAATAGAAAGAGAAAAGATGTTCTGTTTATCCAGTTCCAGAAAACGGGACTTGTGCAATACATTTAACTAGGGCATTAAATGTGTTAGGGCTTCTTTTGTGCAGTCCCTGCCTGGGAGTGCTCTCATGTTTCTTAAACATATTTTCCATCATAAGGCTTTATGACCATATAACTCATATATTTACAGAAACCTAGAAAATTGGAAAAAATTTCCTCCCGCAAGATCCAGTATCATTTTTGAAACCCTCGGAAGTTTCTCTCTGCAACTGAAAGCACTTTAAACCGCTTTACATCTTATAGGATCTCCCCAACTACCCAGCCAGAGCTGATTGTTAATGTGCATTTTCAAAAAGAAAGATTAACGTATCCAAGAAAGCAATTTTCCAAAACATTATTCACACAGTCATGACTAATTCTCAAACAATACTGCTGAGAGGCAACAAAGCAGCTAACTCCAGAGTACAGAAAAATCTGGTCAATAGGACAAGTTTACCCTTTTGTCTTCAAAACTCCAAGTGGGCTCTAAACAAAGCTCAGTGAAGACTATCCTCACAGTTTTATTCTTAATACTCAAGGGTTACAGAACCAAATGTACTTTATTCCAAAACAGATGAGTAAACAGACTGGCATTTCCTCTCTAATTGTCAAAGTTTTCCCTTTAAGGCATGTTGCCATGCAAGAGATTCTGAGCTTTAAGAATATGTATATGACCTCAGAAACACTCCCACTCCCAAGCCAAGGGTGCACTTTAACATAATAAATGCTTTTTTAGATATACTATGTGTTAGG